GTGGGTATGAGTACAGGTAGCAAGGACACTAGCACCCACACCCATATTCACACCCGCACCCCACACCCACACACACACCCACGCCCACACCCACACCCACACCCACACCCGCCACACCCACCCACACCCACACCCACACCCTCAAACCTACATTCACACCTTCAAGATCTAGTCAGATGAAAGCTTATTGTCATTTACGTCTTTTAATCAAAATAAATATTAATTACATCTTGAACAACTAGCAGGATATTTAATTTTTCTATTTGAAAACTATTCTATGAGTAAAACGGTAAGTAAAATTAGACAAGAGGGTGTGGGTGTGGGGTATAAGTTTGGATGCAGCTCTTCAATAGCTCATACCGACACCTTTCTCTATTGAAGTCGCTATTTGGATTCTTTCTAGCACTTAAGGCTACGAAAAAAATCCAAATTACACCCTGTTGAATAATTTTGAGACCCACTGTATATGGTGATAGAATACAGACGAGAAGAGAACAAAAACATAAATGATAACAGATATGATGAACAGATGATTCTAAAATTTCTTAACAATATCATCACACCTTGATGATAACAATTCAAGTTGTCACCATAGTTTGTTCAAATCTTTCTGTACTATCTTGATAAAAGAAGCGTTTCAATTAGTGTCGTTCTAAAGAAAACGAATCTAATCAAGACCCATATTGCTTTCTCGTTCTTTTAAATTTTACATTTGAGAAAATTATGTTGCAAAGTATTTTGCAATGTTCGTCACAGTGCATAAGTGTTTTCCGTTTGGAGGATGGACATGTAGAAGATTCCGACATCATCATTGCGAAGTGTGGGTAGGGTGGGAGTGATGAACAGAACTACACCCACACCCCACCCGCTCATACCCACGCTCATACCACATCCCACACCACACCCACACCTTTATTTATAACCCACTCTGTATATATATTATGCTGGCAAGTGTACGATGTTGTTGTCCTGTATTGAAGATGCTTTCAGCATTTTTGCAAGGAAATGTTCTTTTGCAACCGGAGATTTGAAAGTGAAGAAATGTGAAGACGCATATAATGAATTTATATTTATGTAGTAACGGAAAAATTCATAACTTGTTCAATTAAAAAAACTGCTTACTTCAACACTTTCCTGAATAGAATACACCATTCGAAAACTATATTTGTTCCATTCGATATCATCACCGTCCCCACAATATTCGTTGTTCTCTTGTTTAATTGTCACATATTTGAAGAGAGGGTGTAAATTTTGTATATAGTCCTTGCTCAATATTTCTAAATCCATTGGATAGTCTCTAGTCTGATAGGCACCTACGCGACACGTAAGAACTTGAAGATTGGGTAATTTAAGAGTAGTGGCCAGCTTCTCAAATAGAGTATGAGTTGGCCAGGCACTAATAACTAATTTCAATGTTACAATATTGATCATTCGTGAAAGAAAGATCCTAGGTGTAGATATATCATTACATTGCAATTCAAAGTGTTTGACTATCATCTGAGATGGCGTCGAGGACAACGACGTCATTTGTTGTTCGCCGGAACAAGAAACATGTATTCGATGCAAGTGAGGACATGCATTTAGTATTATATCAAAATCGTGTGCCGTTTCCACCTTTAGTCGAAAAGAACGAAGACCTAATGACGCTGTCGACAATGACATCTCGCTTGAATCGAATGATGGCCCATTCGCAATACACTTGCGCAACTGAGGAAAACCATTGGCAAGGATCACTTGGTATAAGTTATATATTGACTTCTTGCAATCGGGATTTGAATCTATATATATGACACAAAAAAAATAATAAAAGTACTCTTTACATTTGTAATCTTCTTTTCTAAGCCAAGGAGTTTTCTCGGAACAGAAAAGTAAAATGTTCATGTTTATGGATGAAATTTGGTACAAGTTCAGTCTCTCAGAAGAACAATGATACTTACAGTGTTCGATGTGAAGATACTCAAGTAACGGGAAATGACAGGGGCGTACACTATCATACTGTTCTCGGGTCCCATACTTGATTGTAAGTGAGCGAATATTGGCAAACTTCATAGATGCAAATGTAAAGTCCGGTACTCCATCAATAACGAGGCGAACGATACGAACAGCGTATTGAGATAAAATTTTCTCAATAAAAGCATTGTTATTTCTCAATATTATCAGATTAAGACGTGTGAGAGATGACAGAAGTGAATCGTAACGTTTGCAAATGCCAGAGAAAGCATTAACAAGGTCGTCTAAGTCGAGAAAAGCAAAGATTTGCAGAAAGATCTCGTTGGGCAACTGTTGAAAAGAAGATGCAGTTTTAGGCTCCATACCCGCATCTCTTCGTGCGCGTTTTATAGGAACCACAGTTAATTCTGGCGGCGGCCGACTCATCGTTTACTTCGACAAATAGAGTCTAATTATGCTCTACTTTACTTTCTTCTTCTCCCGAATAAAGTGAAGATAAAAAACTTGAGATATCTATATCAATAGAGGTAAGTGTTTTAGAGACAACAATTTTATCAATCCAAACCATAAACATGCGATAAATTCACAAAGTGAGATAGAAAAAGACGTCGCCAATGATATAAACAAAATTGAAACACCCAGTGGGGAAAAAGCCAACTCCGGGCAATCGAATCACTGAAATCACCGTGTGTGGGTGGGTCTATGGGTGTGGGTGTGTCGGTCCGTGGGTGTAGGGTGTGAGTGTGGGTGTGGGTGCGGGTGTGGGATATGATGTGGGTGCGGGTGTGGGATATGATGTGGGTGCGGGTATGGGTGTGGGTGTGGGATGTGAGTGGGTGCGGGTGTGGGTGTGAGATGTGATGTGGGTGCGGGTGTGGGATGTGATGTGGATGTGGATGTTGGGTGTGGTTGGGTCTGGGTGAAAAGAAGACCCACACCCACACCCTTTTTGCAGATAAGGATTAAACTTAAAGTATAGTTTGTCATGTCCTCGCAAAAATTAACGAGGAAACAGTATCATCTGAATAGCTGGACAACCGCAAGAGATAGTGACCTTCGGTTTGTAGCAATCGACAGAGAGGAACTCCGGAATTCTTGAGGGTGTGGGTGGGCGTGGGGAGTAGGTGTGGGTGGGTGTGGGGGTGGGGGTGGAGTGTGGGGGTGGATGGATGGGGATGAGGGTGTGGGTATGGGTGTTGGTGTGGGGGGTGTGGGTGTGAGTGTGTGTGTGGGATGTGTGTGTATGTGGATGTTGGGTGTGGTTGGATCTGGGTGAAAAGAAGACCCACATCCTTTTTTCAGATTAGAATTAAATTTAAAGTATAGTTTGTCATGTGGGTGTGGGGTGTGGGTGTGAGTGGGTGTGGGTGTGGGTGTGGGTGAGTCTTCTTTTTGCACATCCACACCCACAACTCACCTACACCCACCCAACACCCTGTGCTGATGGATGAGACTTCTTTTTGCACATCCACACCAACAACTCATCCACATCCACACTCACACCCGCACCCACCCACATCCACACTCCCACCCACATCCACAACTCATCCACACCCACATCCATACTCCACACCCACACACCCACGCCCACTTTCTGAGCAGTTCTATGCATTCAGATGCTGGTTGAAAAAAATGCTAACTTATACTATTTTCTGCTTTTTTTAGTCTTAAGATCGTTCTGTTGTCTATTGTCTAAGTCATCGATGTTTGGCTAAAATTATACACAATACAATGTTTACCGAGATGAATTGGAGAACATTTACAAGAATAGAGCTTCTGTGATTTTAGTTACTTTTCTATCTTGCCAAATCGTTATAGAATTTGGCGAAAGCATTCGTGTTGAAGGCATGAGAAGGAGTTACAGGGAATTTTTTAGAATGCCACAACGAAAAGCTGAAATGCCAAATGGTCTAGTCTGTGATTGAGCCTGCACGCTAGCCTTCATTGACATCGAGATATGGGAAGTACTTTTCGTTTATGATCAGAATGTACTAAAAAATTGGTTAAAATGAGAGTATTCTGATCCACTATTTCCACAGGAAGAATCATAAACATCAAATCTGGCAAGGAGAGATGAGAACCAACCATCCCATTCCTAATGGTTAATTCGATTGAATTAAAACTGAACTGTACAAACAATACTTTAATTATTTATCCCGTCTCAAAACTTCACTTCGAAAGTTAAATATTCCAACCTCGTTAATCTTTCTCCTTCTTTTGTTTCATCTAAGAAACTTCTTCATTCGAAGAAGAATGAACTCATTAGATCATTATGAGATGTGGATGAACAAGATGCTCAAGATGTCTGCAGGCATCTCAAATAACAACCCATGAGCAATGCATCAAATATTATGCCAAATAACACTTTTTTTAAAAATAACTATATTTATCATTCATGCTCTTTCAATCAAGTCTCAAAAGGTCAAATAAAAAAAAACATTGTCTCTGTCTTTTTATACAATAAAAGAATACCAAGATTCTTAGAATTCAATGGCTAATCTCACTCACCGAAAACAAATGAACGGCTGCTAGAGGTATATAGAAAAAGATGTGTATAGTCATAACTATAGATTTAGATATATAGATTTGAAGGTAAAGAGAGGGATCTATAGAGGACATTAGAAAGAAAATTACTTTATTCATGTATGATTATAAGGGATGACGTAGGTGCAATGTAGTTTTGATATGTATTAATCAAAATAGACTTTGAAACATCAAGAGTTTTTCTGCCTCAAATAAATCGAAGCATTTTTTTAAAAGTTAAGCCGTACAGTGGAGTATTTCAGCAAAGTGGAAGCGTTTCTTTCGATCAGAAAATTTAAAGCAAGATATACATGTAAATATCTTTTATATGGGTTCAGTGTATAAAAACGAGGTTTTCATAGACTGTAAAGAAAAAAAAAATAATGTTCATATCGTTTCAATAAGCATGGATGTAGTTTTTGATTTGAGACAGGATATGCGTGTGGGTGCAGCTTAGATTATTGTCTATGCACACACATACATCTATATCTTTGTTAAACATTGACAATAAATGTATAAATAATAGTTTATAAAATGTGTAATGTCGAAGGTTGAATATAGGTTATCAGTTGATAAATAATTTTGACAACCCAATGTATTCCATCGGTTCGATTATTATTAAATGGTTGATTGACAGAAATAAAACGAGCTAGTTTATAATACCAACGAAATGGAGCCATAAAAGTTTGTGCCCATTGATGGTTTTTTGCTGAGGCATAACAACTTGCCAAAACGTCGTTTATCAATATAGTTCCTTTATTGAATAATAAAAATATTTCTAACTACATAAATACGATAAAATCTAAACTAACCTGTCAATGTTAATGGAGCAAAATATCCTTTTTTTATTTCTATAGTGATATTTCTAACTGGTGAAAATTCAATATGACCATTCATAAGAACATACAATTGATCCCCTAATTGAACATGCCGAGCTGCGATATAATTCATTTTGTTACTTGATGAAATAATCGGTATTAAATGAAGACCTGTTAAACTTATTTGATGACCCGAATCAGTTATCAATGTATAAAATTTCGCTAAAACAATACGATTAAAGAAAAAAGAAATACTAAGATAGAATAAAAACCTTGTTTTGATGTTTGTTTATCCAACATAAAAACCATTTCAGTAGGAACTACTTCCAAATGATCAACAGCAAGAAGTTCATTCCCTGTTTGAAGAGAACCGATTGGTTTTTGTTCACCATTAATTAACATTACCGATGAATCACCAGAAAAACACCCAACACCAACTTCTGTTGAATGTGCACTGGCTTCTATATTATTTCAAAATTTTTCTCGAACAAAAACGTTCCCTATTTAATTTTTACCTTTCCCATTGTTTTCCTGTCCATAAGTATGATGTGTTGCTGCAAGGTATAGAATAATAATTTTGAAAATATAATACATGCTTTGCTATATGTTTTGCAATGATGAAATAAAACAATTTTAATAACGAAAGACTATTTTGAATAACTTCAAGTTTGACTTAACTGCACTTGAAATGATTGGATTCAATAATAAATTGTTTTTTCTTAATGCAACATTGATATAAAAGCAAATAATTTTGTAGATTTTTCAACGATCATTTAACTTTATGTATTGACTTTAAGAATTTAATAGATACATATTAACAAGTCAATCAAAAAACACAATTGATATATTTGAAGAGCAGTTATCAAATAAAAAAAGAATTTACAGAGCATTTTTTTTTGCTTTTCTTCTAAATTATTTTCAATGCTGATTCCAAAAAAGACTTGTTGGATTGCTTTCATTATTGACTTCCAACATTTACAAAAAAAAACAATGTTATTTTTGCATTTAATTGATTAATAGTGATGAATAATCGAAACGTTGTTTGACACTCTATTAAAAAAAAACCTTGATCAAATAAAAATACTGCTCTATATTTTCAGTTTATGTGTAGCAAGATCACTTGTTTTCGTAAAGTGCTTGAAATTCCAATTGTAAGCTAAATCGTTTTTGACGGCTTTTTACTCTGGTTGGATAGAGTTTATTAAGTTAGAGTGTGAGTGTTCCAGTGTAATTGTCAAGAAAACAATACTCCATCTATCTACCAGCAGGAGAAGAACTAGAGCCGAATAAAAATATAAACTATTATTCGAAAGGTTGAGTTTATTTTATCAATCTATTCTTGAAAGTGAGTTATTGTAAAAAGACGCAAACTAAGAGATTATGACAATTTGTTTTCTTTTATCATGTGCCATATTGAAGCAAAGAAGTTCACTTGTTGCATTGTAGAATAACCTCATAGGGGTCCAAATACGTCCATAAGGTTTTCATGATTTTTACAACTAAAACAAGATTATTGATAAGAGAAAAGGAAAAATATCGCCGCATACCCATCTACGAATTGGGCCTTATTTAGTTTGTGTTCTTCATTGAGACCAAAATTTTCGAAAATCTCTGTAACAAATTTCTTCACGCCTTCAGCATCGGTTTCTTTCTCACCTTGGGTGTGGGTGTGAGTGTGGGTGTGGGTGGGTGTAGGTGTGGGTATGGGTGTGGGTGTGGTATTAGTGGGGTGTGTGCGTGCATTTGCAAAAAGAAGATGCATACACGCCCACATCCACCTCCTTAGAATTCTTTGAACTTGAAGCATTTTTATTTGTAAGTTTAAAAAAAAATAATATCCATTAATTACATCATGCCATAAAAATAAAGATTTTACATTTACAAATCTGATTTCATAAAATATGTTTTAACTTCAATTAGAGTATGTTCAATTGAATTTGCTAATGCTTGTGCATTCGTATCCGAACAATTTTGATAAGTAGCGACGAAAAATGTTATTCTATAATAAATACATAAATATATCATTATGGTCATGTTTGTTTTTACTTACGCATCACTACCAATTCTATAAAAAACTCCATAACCATTTAAACACATTGGTGCCGTTCCAGCTAATGATGTATTGAAACCAAGACAACTTGTAGATAAAATAAAATTACGGTCTCCACCACTAAAAATAAGATTATTTAAAGAGTAATAAAATCGTTCCTTTTAAAACCTTTTTATCCATGATGGATCATGTTTAAGTTCGAATGGCTTTCCTGTTAAATGTGCTATCATACTCAATCCAAGTAAATGTCGATCACAACCTTGATTTTCCCATGCTTCAGTCATTAATTCTTGATGACGTTTAGCAGCAATAAGAAATAATTGTCTTTCATTTTCCTATATATATTTCAATTACATTAGAAATATAAAGAAAAAGATGTATATTTTACTGTTAATTGATTATTTGAATTTGTCATTGCACGACACCATGCCACCACTTCTGGTGAACAACTTCGTATTGTTTCAGTTCTTCCACGATAAAAACGTCGTGTTGATCCTGTTTCATAAGTTGATGCAGGTTTATATCCATGTAATTTAAAATAAGCTTGTTGAAGACATAATTGAAAAAAACTATCTGGATGAATACGAACATATTGTTTAATATCTTCTTTTGTACATTGAGTTACATTTTTTACTATTATTTTAATATTATTCGCTGAATGATGAAATAAAGTAACTGCACGATTAATAGCATTAAATACATATGAATCATAAATAAATAAAAGTTCTCGAACAATTATTTTATTATAAGGATCAGATGGTATTGGCCATGAATTTATCTTTTCAAGAGAATCAATGTGATGTTTTATATGATCACTGATTTGTATTGAAATAATGGCTTCATAAGCTGAATGCTAAATATCAAAGTTACTTGAAATGAATCTTTATGTAAAATATTAGAGAACTATATACTTCGCCATTTGCTGCAATAAGACCATTCCGTGTAACAATATAAACATTCGACCGATCAAACCAACGTGACTGAGGGTTTTTCAACATACCAATGCGAGCAAGCTAAATATTCATATTTAGTATTTCATTCTATATACAAGACCTAACGTATGTCCTAGGAGGAATTACATTAAATACCAGCACATTTTTCTATCGCTTCTGAATCATAAAAAACATCTCATTTGTCCAAAAATAGAGAATTTTAAGCTGTACAAAAACGTTGACTTGATTTTTAAAACAAACATGTCCTCTTGCGCAAAATTTAAAATATTAACATCTACTTAGTCGTTCGACTGTATCGATTAACAAAATGGAAAACTCATGACAATTTTTTTAATAAAGATTTCACTGCTATTCTAGCTGTCTCATGAAAACTTTCATGAATTCTACATCTTCTGATGTTTCCCTTTCTACACGTCCTTTGCAATTGTATCGAAACGTAAAAAACAAGATAGACGTTACTATATACACAAAGATGATAATGGGTCGCGGCTCTTCAGAATGCTTTCAAGTTTGAAATGTGTCACATCCTATACAAATCTCGTTCTCGTTCAAATTCTGTTAACATTCAAAAGGCACATATACTCTGCTATTATTGGTAGATACATAGTTTTCATATATTTAAGAAAACGATTTTTAAACATTCAAATATAAACTTCTTCCTGTGCTTCAACATCCAAAACTTTGTAGATTTATTATCACAATTCAAATGATATGAATTTAATATGAATATTAAAATTATTCTACCTCTGTTAAATTTTCAGGATTATCATCATCCAATGCATAAACAAGTAATGCTTGTTCAATAACTTGAAAATTGATTTTATTTTGTTCATTAATTTCACATAAATGATTACGTATCTGAAATTCATTTCAATACTAATAGAATAACAATTTTTTTTAAACTTACTTCTGCCCATTCATCACGTGGTAATGCTGTTAGAGCACCTAACCCAAGTCCAGTACTTTGATCACATTGTTTAACAATATCTTCAAGTCTTCGAAGAATTTCAGGTGGTGTAAGAAGTTTCTTTGATTCATATAAATTGAATGTAAATAGATGTCCATTACGAATAATTACAACATGAGTTGGTGGCGTTTGAACATCTTCAGAAACTATTGAACAAAAGAATAGATATATCAGAAGAAAAAAACATTTCAATTTAAAAACAAACAAACCAGTTCGAAATGAACTAACTAATTTATCACATCCTTTATATGGAACTCGACATGTATTAAAAAAATGTTTAAATTGATACATTGTCAATGGATGTTTACCCATGTATGATACTGGATAACGTTCTCTTGAAAATAAAATTAGATTATTATTTTTTGAATCTAAATTTATATTAACATACTCGCGTATTGTTTCAAAAACGAGAGCACTAGCATATATATGTATGCTTGTTCGTGTTAGTTGTGAGTCGACTTTAGGTGATATTAAACAATTAAAACTCACCATGCTAATATCTGGTGCGATCGGTAATCGCCATTTTAAATATATTTCTTCATCCCACCATTTTGAGAGCTACAAGAATGTCCAAAGTTTTCTTGATTTGAATATCAATAAAATTTCAACTATGTAAACTAAACGTTTTTGTTGCATAAGAAATATTTTCTGATTCTTTCATATCATTTTTTCTGAAATTAATCATTTTTCATTCTTATGATAAAATCATGGAACCCTTTATAGTCTATTAAAACTTGAACTGTATTTTTTTTTGTATCTTACCCAATTTCGTTCTTGACGATTCTTAATATTAGTGTCCAATTGTTCATGTAATTCTCGTCCAGTTCCTTTAGAAAATTGTTCAACAATTTTTTTAGTCTTATCATATTCATCATCGTTGACAACAGCTCGTACTAAATATATATAATACATAGTTAGTTTTCGAAAGTGTCTCGTTTTTTTTTGTTTACCTGAATCAAGATAACGATCAAGCGTATGTTCTAATGTTGGTAAGGGTAAAGATGGAAGCTCATCATCAAACTCAAACGTTTTTGCTGTCGTTCTCTTTGATAAATAAAAATACTCTTTCATCGAGTGCATATTTAATCTCTAAAAGTAGAGATTATATCAGTTTATAGATACCGAAAGACATTTGTTTTTACACTTAGCACGTGCATCATGTAAACAAAATAAAAAGTCTCGTCTTCTATTAACTTAATCAATGTCAATCGGCCTTTTTGACAACTGAATAAAAGCAAAAGAACTATTCGATTGGTTAAAACTTTTTTGAAAGCATCGATTGAATAATAAAATAGGATCTTGAATTGCACATTTACAGTACGTATTAAATTTCGCTTTCATAATTCGACCATACTTCACATAACACTGAAGCGAGAATTTTTTAGTTGTATACAGGAATTTTTCAAGTTAATAGCTTTGACTTATATGCTAAAGTTTAGCCCTTATCAGTGTATGCAGATCAATGCAAATTGCTATCTTCATTGATAAATTACTTTATATTATTCGAGTTTGAAAGATGTTCAACAACATTATATATAAATATGAAAGCCCTTAAGTAACGTTAGCATAATACGTATTTTTTTTTGTATTACAGAAGAAAAACTGAATCAGTATGCTCGCTTGTCAATGTAAATAAAATAATGTAGTTTTAATCTTTGAGTCATTATCTCAGAGTCTCGCTAATAAATATCTGCACAGAACGATTAGAATCTTAAAATCGAGAAAATTGCTAAATAATGGGGATCTCAGTTGTTTAAGAGTGATTCTAATGATTAATAGAAAAAATACTTTAAAAGTAAACGAGAATAAATAGAAGTTTGAAAAACTCAAAATAAGACAATGCTGAAATTTAGATTTGAGAAAAGAACACTCTAATTTTGTATCTAAAAGCTCTTTTCAATGTTTCAAAAAAAAATTCATAAATACCTCGAAGATATCATTTAGAAATCGTAACTCACTCATTAAAATCCTGGATCCGTCACTGCTATCTAATCCAAACCCTGAGAAATCTGATCTTAATTTAAAAGAATCAATCATTCTTGTTTTATTCGTATTGAACTCACCCTACTAAATGAAATTGCGCTGATAAATTTTTTACTAAACATTTGTTGAGTTTTTATGTGTAACTAATAAAGTCTTCTATAAATATATACATATATACAGTTGAGATAGTAATCTTTTGTAATAAAAACAAAATCATCTAGCGCCATCAAATTTTTTTCTCTATTGGTAACTTTTTTTTTTTTTCGTTTATGTTTGACAGCAAAGAACTCATAGAAAGCAAGTAAATTTACAAAAATATAACTCAATAAATAAATATTATACACTTTTCTTTTTTTTCTATTCACGTATCTATACACACCTTTATCAATATATTTTAGATCGTAATGATAAAAGAATTACGTATGTAATTGAAATATGTAAATTCAATTTTGATTAAAAATAAAATGTGGAATGAAGAATTTTGGTTGCCTAGAAACATAACTTGGAAAAATTTTCTTGAACTTAAACAAAAAGGTATTCGTCTACCACAATTCAATGATCTTATTTATGTTTATCCATTGGCTGGTATATTGTATATAACAAGACTTTTATTTGAATAGTAATTTCTTCTTTTTCTGTTACTTTTTATTTTGACTTTATTTTTTATAAAGTTGTATAGCTCAATCAATTGGTAGATTACTTGGTATTCAAGATATTCATCAACGTAATTCACGTATTAGTCTATTAGGAAAATTTAGTGAATCATTTTGGCGTTTTACTTTTTATCTTAGTATATTTATTTATGGTGTAATTATTTTACAAAATGTAATGATATATTTTTTTCTTTTCTATTATTTATCAAAAAAAAACAAAATAAATATAAATTGATTTTTTGATTTCTATTTAAGAAATCATGGACATGGAATACACAAGATTGTTGGTTAAATTATCCAAATCATTTATTAACAGATGATATTTTTTGGTATTATATGATAGAACTTGCTTTTTATTGGTCATTAATTTTTTTACAATTTATTGATGTTAAACGAAAAGATTTTTGGCAAATGTTTCTTCATCATATTGCAACAATATTCTTACTTTCATTTTCTTATATTGTTAATTTTGTACGTATTGGAACATTAGTACTTGTTATACATGATTGTGGAGATTATTGGCTTGAAGTAAAAAATTAATTAAATAAAGAAAAATATGTTTATATAGACGTTTTTTTTTTATTTCAAGAGTGGTAAAATGGCAAAATATGCACGAGCACAAAAAATATGTAATATATTATTCATTATTTTTGCGATTGTTTGGTTTATAACACGTCTATGTTATTATCCGTATAAGTAAATATATATATTGAACAAAATATTTCTAATTAATTCGAAAGGTAGCTTGATATCATAGAGATGTTTTTTATATAAATCTATGCTTTTCGCAATATGAAATCATATTATTTTTAGCAATGATTGAATCAGAAAAAGAAGAATAAACATTTTACAGTAGACATGAAAAAGTAGTTCATTAAGATTTATTACAAATGACATGATCAATCAATAATTATTAAACTTTGTTTTTTTACTCTTCCTTATAGTAGCAGAGCTAGAAAAAAAAGATTTGTCACCGTGGCAGTATGAATATTGATGTCAGTGTTACAATCTAATTGAAAGAGAATGTCTGAATCAGATTTAATGAGCGGTTGTACTCGCGATTGTAAAAGCAATAATGTACTTTAAAACGATGAAAATGTTTTGTTCGACAAAATTTCATAAAAATTGAAATTTTTTGTATTAGTCGAATTCTAATTTTACCTATAATATATATATTTAATTTTAATAAAATGAAATCATGGTTGAATCTGCATTGTGCAGTTTTAATAAACGAAGTTGTCTTCAGTCTACATAGTAGAAGAATGTAAAAAATTTCATTTTCCTTTTCGTCCTTGAGATGTTTAACATCTGATATTGCCTTGGCAAGATAGTGATAATGATAGTAGAGTTGGGCTATTTGTCTTCTTCTTTCCACACACTATCATATGTCAAATATAATAACATATTTCAAGAATGCAAAAGAAAACGAAAATTTTTACATTTCTGTACTGTCGTTGATGACAACAATTTTGTTTATCGAAATTGCACGATGTGCATTCATTCATTATTTTATTATTATATTAAAATATACAGAATAGTTCCTTTTAATCAATTGGACTGATTTTTGTTTTCGATAATAGAAGGCTCGTCAATTTGTTTTCTTCATAGGGAAACTGTCAGTATTTTAGACATTCATCGGGCTAAATACTTCAAATGTTTAGTACATGTACTGTCGTAAAAATATCGATCTGTGTCATCTACCCGGCTTTGATCGCTTGAGTTGAAGAGCAGTTATAATTATAACTCAAGAGAGAAAGACGCTTATGATAAGAGTTCACCGGCTGCAAAATTTTCGGATGCGTTCGAATCCACAACCAATCTGTCGCACTCTAATCAATAAATGAAGAATATTTTTTTGTTTTCCGCTTTCACGATTTTTTCAAGGTTGCTGATGATGAACAATAGCTTGGAACTAAAACTTACTGATATTTTTCACAGCGAGATTTAGTGAATGCAATAGTCATTGTCATGCTGTTGAATGTAAAATTTAATTCTAAACAAAATATAGTATCAAAATAAAAACAAAAATAATCATGTAATTCTGTCGGACAAGACTTTATCTCTAGTTTTTATGTCATGATTATTTTTGGAAATATGTCTTCTGAAATTCTGAAACATATATTAAAAGATTTAGAATTTTATGAAATACTTTTCATTTCAAGAAACCATTGTTAGAAAAAATCTGTATGATTTTTTTCGGTTTTTTTTTAAATCGTCATCGTTGAATGATTGAATAAGTTTTCATATTTTAAATTTTGCTACAGCAAAAAAAAAGAAATTGATATTCTTTTGTTTAATCTGTGCCATCTATTAAAATAGAAAAAAAAATCTAGACTAAAAATAGCACATGAACATTATCAGTGTGTATCGAAAACGACTCGATTCTGATAGTTTAACAAACTTTAAAAGAAAAAATCGTCGTCATAACATACACATGACACCGATCGGTATACTCGGAGTAGTTTTCTGGTTGTTATCACATGCGAAACATCAATGAATTTTCGTCGAATACAAAATAATATGAAAAATGATTTTTAATGAGAAGATTTTGTTAAATAAGTTGTTTACTTTTCTATAAATCTAGAGTATTGTATACAACGACATTTGAAGAATTAACGATACTTGGTTTTTTTCCTGCTTATTATGTATTCAATGGTTTTTTAATACTTCTACAAATTCTTCATTATTTCTGGTTCTATCTAATTTGTCGAGTAGCTATTTCAGCATATAAAGCTGGCAAAGTATGATAAAAATTATTAATTCAATAAAAAAAAATGAATATTTTCATTTGAATAAATTGTTTTCAATTTTAGGTAAAAAAAGATGATCGGAGCGATAGTGATGAAAGTGATGATGAATCAACGAATAAGAATGTTAATATTGATAAAAACAAGTGATCTAGTTTTTTTTTCCATAATAAATATTATTTGTATATATTTAATTAAATAACAAAAAATATAATTATTTTTACTTTTCTATCGATTTTATTTTTCTTGGACAGATTTTTACAATATAATATATGTACATTTTATCTAATTATTTTCATCTATTTCGTTTCTTTCTTTTTTTTACAATGTAATTTTTTTATTTCTTACATCTTTAATAAAAATAGCTATGCGTTTTGTACATATATTTCCTCCTTTTCTAATTGATTTGTTATTAAAATTTGCTTTATTTTTTTGTTAAATATTGAATAAGCAAACAATTTTTTTTTGATAAAATATTTGACAAAGTTTTATTTTAATGAAGCTCAAAATTTTTTATGAAACATACACTAAAAGAAATATTGAAGTATAGGCATAAAACCTTGAGCTGCCTACAAATTGTGGCACTATGAGTATTCAGATGAACATTCGATCAAATATTGAAATGATACTTTTTAATGGTTTGAATGGAGTAATTATTTAATAATATAGAGATCCCCGTTGCCCTTGTTAGCTATTA